TTCTTAACAAGGCATATAAAAGTATTAATGTGTTTAATATGTTCTTAAATAGTTTGAGAGAAGATTAATATATCATCAATACAAACAGAAATGTAAGCAGAATAAATATTAAATATTTCGTTCATTATATATAGTTTGAAACTCAAAATGTCCATTTTTGAATCCATACGGCATCACAGTGTGTAATGACCAAATGTAATAGTAAAAGACATTTTGTGTCAATTTTTTTTTTTATTCCAATTTGTCAATATCCATTTTTAAGATCAAACATAGAGAAGAGAATAACATTATTTAATCAATTTAATAAATCCTTTTTATTAGGAAAGGGATATCTTATCTGTTTTAGTACTTTATTTAGTTGTTTATAGTTAATGACTAATCTTGGTTTTCCTCTCCCTTTCTCAGCATTATTTTCTACATAGAATGTTGTGCAGCTCCAAGAAAAATAAGATTTTCTAGTAATATTTTTATAACTGATAACTCGTGTATTTCATTTTCGTTATATAGATCAAGATAATGTTGATTCATCTGATATGGTTTAGTTTTTTTATGGGAATATCTTTTTCATTGAATCCATCTTCATAGGGTATCTCAGCACAATGTGTTTTTCTTTCCTATAAGTCTACAAGACTATCTCCACTTATTTCATTTTGTAATTCTTGATAAATTTTATTTATTTGTTGTTGAATTTTACCATCCTGAATTTGTTCCTGAATTATTTCAGAATTAATTTCCTGCCTTTCAAAGAACTAGTATGAAGAGTTTTTAGCTTAATTTGATTTATTTCATTGATAATGATTTCCTTAAGCTTGTAATAAACTGATATTTTAAAGGAGTAGGAAATTTTCCAAAGATAATTCCACATGAATCAGTTTTGATTGACAATAACTTGATCTGTTGAGAAACACTTTTAACTAGTAAGAAAGTAGTATAAGTACAATATTCATCTTTGCATATGACAACATTTGATAACGCAGACTCAATTTCCATTATATTACCATTGGCAGAAGTCTTTTTAGGCATTGAGAAGGAACAATTGCTTATTGAAAGCAATTCATGTCTATGCCAGAATCTACTAAGGTAGTAAAAGAAGAAAATATGGATTTTTTTATTAAGAATTAGTTTTATATATATTCACACAATAGACTCAATGCATTCCTCCACGTCAATCATTCAACTTGAATTCTACTAATAACCATCACATTGAACATTAGACTAGAGATATCTAAAACCTTCACTCCTAATAGGATCATTAGATGGTCCGTGTTTAATGTGACTAAATCATCTAAGACGACTCCGTCTAATCTTTTCTACCACTGGTGCGACACCAACCGTTTCATGGATATAATTGCTTCTTATTTTGTCTCTAAGCTTAAAATCACTCATCCACATAAGCATTCTCATCTCTCCAACAATTCCTATGTATTGCATACCTAACACCTTAACTTAGTTTTTCACATAAAAATTACACAATTTCTATGCATTACATACCTAACACCTAAACATCGAATTATACATAAAAACCACACAATTTCTATGCATTACATATCTAACACCTAATTTTTATATTTCACATAAAAATATCTCAATTCCTGTATGTTACATATCTAACACCTAAACTTTAGATTTCGTATAAAAACCATATAATTCCTCTGCATTATATATCTAACACCTAAACTTTACTTTTTAAATAAAAATCACTCAATTCCAATGCATTACATGTCTAGCACTTGAACTTCACATTCCACATAAATACCACATAATTCATATGCATTACATATCTAATACTGAAATTTCAATTTTTACATAGAGTAGAAAAGAAAAGAAAATCTCATGAAAGGGAGATTCAACCGAAAAAAAAAAAAAAAACCTAGATGATGTAAATAGGGATTGTTTGCCTATGTCGTGAACTAGCACGTGGAAGTTGGTCGGAGATGCCGGATCGAGCACTCGAAACGGAGGAGCGACGGCGGGGTCGAAATCTAGAGGAAGACGAGGAAATGCATGAATGAGGGTTCTACCTTGGTGGGTTTTTTAGGGCATCAGCATCTGCATTTTTTTATGTTATTAAGAAACTTAACAGTGCCGGAAAACTCCAACACAAAGTCAACTTTACTTAATAGTGTCAAAAAACTCCAATGCAAAGCCTATTCTAAGTATGACATTACTTAATAGCATCCATTTTCTTACCGGTGAATAAAGCTCAATGAAAAGCTGGCATAAATTTGATACTAATTTTGTGTTAAAATAAAATTTGATGATGTCTAACGTCAATTCACATGTTTTTCATAGTGCACGGCTCGCCATCACTATTTGTCATTGCTGACCTCCTACCACTGGAAAACCTTATTTACAAAATCCCTATCCCAGATGTGGTTGCAAAGTACAACCCCTGTATTGAAGTCCCAACGACAACTTCTGGCCTCTTAGTTGTGAATCACTGTCGACCACTGTTGGTTGTCACCACTTGTTGCCATCAACCATCGATCATCGACAATAACTGCTTACAACTGTCATAGCTAGAATATGACGATTATTTCTATTTTTTTCTTTATTTTTGTATAAGTGCAGTGTTCCATGTAAAATGGTAATTGCATTCTCCTTGAAGTTAGAGAAGAGGTCCAGTCACTAGATATAGCCTTTGTGACCAACTAAGAGAAGGGGTCCAGTCACTAGATATAGCCTTTGTGACCAACTAACACCATTGTAGTTACCAACTACAATTTTTGTTGCCAACTAATGTTATTTCAGCTTTAAACTACGACCTCTATCGCCAAGTGATGTTAATGCAATCAACAACTACTACCTCAATGACCAAACAATGCTATTATAACTTTCAATTATGGAATTTATGACCAACAAATACTATTGCAGTCATCAACTATGACCTATGTGACCAACTGACGTTATTGTAGTTACCAACTACTACAGTTGTGGCTAACTACTACTATTACAACTTATAATTATGGCTTCTGCCTCTGTGACCAATTACCGTTATTACACCCATTGATTATTGTCATTGTGACCAAATACTATTATTACAACTTTCAATTACTGCCTTTGTGGCCAACATACACTATTGCAGCAACCGACTAGGACTTTTGTAGTCAATTACTATTGTTGCAGCCTCCAACTATGACATGTGTGACCAATTGTTATTATGACAACGTCTAAATATGCTCTATAACTAACTATTGCTATTGCAACCACCGACCACAACCTTTGTAGCTAACTACTGTCTTCGTAGCAACTAACTATGACATTTGTGGATAACTATTATTATTATAGTCAAGAATCACATATGTTGTAGTCCAATTATGACAATTATAACATAATTATTATTATGCATTTGTGATTATTTACTTTGAAATTCAATTTTCTCTAACTTAGAAGAAGAGTGAACTTATGTACTTATAATTATATGGTAAATTATTTTCACTGAGCTAGGCGTAGTAAGTTTTTCCCTTTCTTGGGTTATTCCACGTAAAATATCTAGGAGTCTCCTTGTGCTACTTTTCTTTTATATGTATGTGTGTGAGTTCTTCTTACAATATTAATATAATAAAATATCACTCTACCGCTTTGAATTTTTCGACATGCAATAAATATATAATTAAATAAATTTGTTTTAATTTTGTTTTTGTTAAAAGTTAAGGTCTAGTGATAGTTATATGAGAAATTGTTGAAGATGAGTCATATAATTGAAAAGAAACTTTTTAGTAATTTTCTTAGAGGCCTTGTTAAAGTTTTAAGTAAATTCTCTAAATTTAACAAGAAAAAAAAAAGAGTTTTACATACATATTACACAATTCTTGTGCATGTATATATATATGTTATATTTTTATTTATGACTCACATTTTTTTTAATAACTTATGAGATTTATTTTTGATAACTTAAGTTATTAATTTTCTTAACTCATAACTTATGTCATAAATTATGACAACTTATGATATTTATTTTTTGATAACTTAAGTTATTAATTTTCTTAACTCATAACTTATGTCATAACTTATGATAACTTATAATATTTATTTTGGTAACTCATATAATCCCTAAAATACATAAATGTTATTAACTTATGTCATTGATTTTAATAATAAAGGTAACTCATATAATCCCTAAAATACATAAATGTTATTAACTTATGTCATTGATTTTAATAATAAAAATCAATTAATTTATTAAATTATCATAAATCATATTGGTTAGTAACCCTCTTGATGGATGGTGGTTAAATAGCACATGAATTTGAGAATGAGTCATCTCTCTACCGAACACACTCTGTACATTTCTCCCTATCAGAAAGTACAGAAAGTTTCAAGGGATTAGAGAGAGAAACTCCATCTTTTCAAGATCAAATTTCTTCAAGATCAAATTTCTTTATCATGAATACAGGTATGCGTCACTTTACTTTAGATATGTAAAAATCATGAATTTAAAATATCTTTGTTATTATGTGTTATTATGTTCTTTTTTTTAAAATTTGTGTGATAAAGTTCAAAAATGAATTTTCGAATAATATAAGACAAACTTTAATTTTATATACATGCAACTTTTCTCTATGTATAAATGAGTGGAATACCCATTTTCATGCGTTGGTAATATATGTAAAAATTAAAATTTTGGTGTTAGATGCATATATATGCATAAGAATTTAGTATATTATGTATGCAAATTTTCTCCAAAAAAATAAAAATAACAAAAGGCTCAGTCGCCCGTATGGTGGACAGATATGGAATGTGCAACCAACGATGAGTAAGAAAGTACAGTTTCCCACCATTTACTGATTTTGCATGAACAAAAATTTGCAAATTTCGGAACATTTCCCGATCTTGTTTGGGCAAAAATTTCCCAAAATTTAGCATTTTGGATAAAACAAAAGTAGCGGCAGACCGGTCCACCCAACCACTCACAGACGCCTTCTTCTCCCCTAACAAAAATCCAAACCTTTAAAACACGCTTAAATTAAAAAACAGAACCAATCAAATTTCTCAAAAAACAGAGCCCCAATTATTAAAACACCACCCTCCTATTTAAACAGCCGCCCCTCACCCAGCCACCTCGTCCCGTTCCGCCTCCCATATGATTGCCTACTTCAAAAACCTACCCCGTCTTCTCTCCTCCGCCGCCGGAGATGACGACTGCACGTCCGCGGACGAAACTAACATCGGCGAACTGTTACCGTACGGGCGCGACTTCGGAGGTATGGTTACCTCCGTTCCGGCTGCGGTGATCCAACCTTCAACCGCCGACGAAGTCGCAAGTGCTATCCGCTTCGCTCGCGCGAAAGGCCTGGCCTTGGCTGCAAGAGGTAACGGACACTCGATTCACGGGCAGGCTGGAGCTTCCGGTGGACTCGTTCTCGATATGCGGGCTCTCGCTGGGCCCTTAAAGCTAACGAGCGGTACTATAGGACCTTGCGCGGAGGTTCCTGCAGGTGCTCTGTGGGCCGAGGTGTTGGAGTGGGCCGTGACAGAGCACGGGATGGCTCCGCCGTCATGGACGGACTATTTGGGGCTGACTGTCGGCGGCACGCTCTCTAACGGCGGGGTAAGCGGACAGACCTTTCGTTACGGCCCGCAAGTTGTAAACGTTGCCCGGCTCGAGGTTGTTACCGGCGACGGCGAGCGACGAGTTTGCTCGCTGGAAGCCGGGGAGGCCGACCCGTTCTCTGCTGTTCTATGCTGTTCTCGGCGGACTTGGCCAGTTCGGCGTAATCACGCGCGCTTGGATTCCGCTTCTGCCTGCCCCTGATACGGTAAGATGACCGAATTGGTTACATCCCTCCATTCCACTTCCAGCTTAACTTTCTTCTCTGTTTAAAATTAGAACCATTTTTCAAAATCTGTCATTCCATGAACAGCCGTTCCCGTCCTTTTTGCCAAGATTTTATTCTTCGGACCCAAAGGATTTACCTATTTGTTTTAGATGCAGTAAAAACTAGCTTTTTTTCCTTTCAAGTTGAGATTTTTAATAATGTTCTGAAGTCCTGACCTAAAAGACAACACTGGATTTTATAGATTGGGAAATCCAGCCGCCAATTTGAGTTATTTGATTGCAAAAGTAGTGGGAGTTGAGAATTGAGTAACGCTACTTCGATCAAATGTGATTATTGCACTTCAACTTTTAACTGCGATTTCTAAGAAGCAAGAGATGAACATTGAAATTCTAAAGGTTCTAAATGCAAAAAAATTGCCCTTTTCCTCTGCAGGTGAAATGGTTGCGAGTTGTCTACAGTGATTTTTCGCGGTTCACGCTGGACGCAGAATCACTCGTCCAACGATACGGACCTGAATCGTTCGATTACGTGGAGGGATTCGCCTTTGTCAACTGCGACCATCCAGTCAACGGGTACGGATCGGTCCCGCTCGACTCAGACCGACAAGCGTTCGACCCGGACCGAGTCCCGCAAGGATCCGGGCCGCTCTTATACTGTCTTGAGCTCGCACTTCACTACAACGACGGCGATGACTCGGTTGACCAGGTAATAATTGATATTTTCGGGGTATTTTCGTCAATCTAATATTTCTGTGGCCTCTTGCTGCATTCTTTGGATTATTGCCAAGTTAAATGTCGGCTCTATTTAACATTTAATTACGATCATAACCCTTGGCAGCGGGCGGCTGAGATGCTGAAGCCTCTAGGATACGTCAGGGGTCTGGAGTTCAGTGCGAAAGTGTCATACGTGGACTTCCTCTCACGTGTGAATCACTCCGAGGCAGAGGCACGTGCGAATGGTAGCTGGCACACACCACATCCTTGGCTCAACATCTTCGTTTCCGCATGCGACATCGTCGACTTCGATCGGGAGGTTTTCCGCAAGATCCTCCGCCGTGGTGTCGGAGGGCCCATGCTAGTCTACCCCATGGTCCGCAGCAAGTAAGTTCTGTAATTTTTGAATTGATACGGGCGTGATTTGTAATTTACTACGGTTAATTTACTTGTTTCAAATGTAGGTGGGACCAGAGAATGTCGGTGTCGGTACCGGACGGTAAAATCTTCTACTTGGTGGCGCTGCTCCGGTTCGGTCTGCCTCCGCCGGCCGGTCCTTCGGCCGAGGAGATGATGGCGGAGAACCAAGCCGTGGTGGACTGGTGTCGTTCGGCCGGTTATGATTACAAGCTCTACCTACCACACTACAGGGATCAGAGCCAGTGGGCGGTTCACTTTGGGGAAAAGGGCTGGAGGCGGTTCGTGGACCGGAAGGACCGATACGACCCGGACGCCATTCTCTCGCCCGGACAGCTCATCTTTTCGCCGGAGGGGACGCCGCACCGCCGGTGATTAGTGGAGAAGGACGATGCCAGCTGTAATTCTTTTTTCATTTATTTTTTTATTTTCTCTTTTGCACTTTTAAGATATTTTAAGATATATTGTGGCTGTTAATTAATTTGTTGGGTCGATTAAGTTGCATGAATTTGATTGGGCCTGAACGAAAGATGGTGCGGTGGGTGGGGTCGGCTGTTTCATGGCAAGCTGGGTTTAGTGCTTTGCTTTGATAGCTAAACTGCTTTGAAGTAAGACAAAACCTTCAATTATATGAACCCCGCCCCCGCGCCCACCACACCTCCTCAAAAAAGAAAAATTAAATATTAAAAAATTAAAAAAAAACCTTTAACGAATTATTATAATAATTTAAAATTTAACCTTTAAAAATAATATTTTGTTTTAAACTATTAACATTTTTTTATAACTTGCCCACCAAAAATTCTAACGAATTATTTCAGTAGGTTTTCATTAGTCAATAGATGTCATTTTTTACCATCAGGTCTCCTCAAAAATTGAATTTTGATGAAAATTGGAATAAAATTAAGAGAAATTATTCACCGCATGCAGAGATGCATGCGGTGTCCGATCTCTAAATTTTGATGAAAATTGGAACAAAATTAGGAGAAATTATTCACCGCATGCAGATATGCATGCGGTGTTCGATCTCTACCGTCGATTACCGCAATCAAATTAAAAAAAAAAAAAGTTGAAAGTGGGGTCTACCGAAATACATATTTGCGGTGATCGACGGTGGATATCGGACGTCTCTGCATGTGGTGTCCGTATAATCCGATACCGAACTACCCACAAAGATTCCCTTCTAATTCTAATTTAATGAAAAGAAACTATTTTTGGAAGAAATAGTGAAATTTTTTACATGATCAGTACAATAGATATATATATAGCAATCGTGCATTATAACTTATTTTCAACAAACCTATTAATCATTCTTTTCTTCATTTCTATTTTTACTTTGCTTTATAGCACAAAGTTAAATTTAAGTAACAATCCACCCATAAATTATTCTTCTGTAGATGTTAGATTTTGTATGTCTCTCTACATAAGATGTATGCACTCATCCTACATAAAAATAATAATGTTATTAATGATTGTATTATGACAAATATTAGTGTTTTGATTATATTATTAATATACTTGTGTATACCAAAAACCAGCATCCATGGGCGAAATTTCCACGCAATAGGCCTCATGGGTGCGGGTTAGTCCAACTGTTCGGAAGACATGACTTTTGTCGGAGTAACCTGCTAGGATGACCCGCTAACCACATTTGTCGATGTTTCAACTATCTTATACTAGCTCCTGAGTTGACTCGTCAAACTTACTTCATTTCATTAGACTAATTGATCAATGAAACTCACTAGCCTAACTCGTCTTCACGCCAATCATCGTAACCATATAAGAATGCAAAAGTTAAGACCGACACCAATGATTGACATATGTCCCATTCTCGTTTATGAGCTGCCTGACACATAAATTGTTCTCTTTTCATCAAATTATTATGGATAAATTTTGTGAAACACGACTTGTATTTTAAAATTTTGTGTACATGTATAAAAGAGGGAGAGAAACTGTAGAGAGGGAAATCTCTCTGAGCTTTTTTCGAGGACATTATGCTATGATTCTCACGGAACCTTTCACGTCTCATTTTCTAATAAGATCATCTCCTTTGCTCTGTCAGATGGGGATCGAAAAACATAACATATACTTCAGGCATAGAAAATGCATCCATCATCTTATTTCATCTTCCTTACACGGGTTCTTCCGAGTTATGTGAATTCTTAGACACTACGGGACCTAGCATTCAAAAAGGATTAAAAAAATACTTATATATAAATGCATTGTAATATGTTACTAATCAATTGTTGATCATTTTATCAGTAGGTTCTCTTAACAATATTTCCTTCCATAAAAACACTGCTCTTTCAGTACCCGATGTGTGGAATTGAGTTATAAATATGGAGTGAGCTATCTATGTTCGAATAGTTAGAAGTTCATTTTATAAATTATCATCTCTCTTTTAAGTAAAATCAGATTTACTGTGCACAAATCTCCCTACCTCTTCCTAATAGATTGAGTCATTCAGTCAAACCTATGGATATCTATGAGTACATCTCTCAAATGTGTTGGGCCTAAAACCTTATTCGAATCATAACATAATTTTGTAGGACAATAAAAATCACCTATTTAAAATAAATATTTTTTAATTAGTACAATAAATTATTAACAATTTTTTAAATAAAAAAGTAAATACTTATTATATCAAACTCATGACCACCCAATGAGTATTGCTTCCAGGATATGATAATAGCATCATATTTACTATGTCTAATATCTTTATTTTTTATACAAGGCCCCACTAGCATGAATTCTTCATAAAATAACATAGTAATAGAACAACCTTGTAGAGATCAATTTCATGCGTGCCAAGGGGCAGCTCAACACGTGCACCAAGTACCTTTCCGCTGTACCTCTGCCATAACCTGATAGCTCCATGCAAAGATGCAGCCTTACCGAAAAAGCAAGATTCCAATCAACTAAAAAGCCCCACCCATAAAGCATATATTTTTATTATTAAACATGCAAATTTCTCCAAAGGTACTTTATCGACCATCTCCTACAGTCATTTCATACTTTTAAGGGGCATTGTTTTTTCCTCCACTACTTTCAACACTGGTCCATAAAAGGACAAGAGCAAGAGAGAGCTCTTAAAGCAATCGTTATGTGGAACAAATCACGTTACAGAATGTGCATGGGAGAAGCTTCATAAAGCATTATTTTTTATGCTTTTTTAGATATGCTGCCCTGCATGCATTGGCTGGAAGAACTTTAGAGATATTGCTTTTTACACTTTTACCTTTTTTTTTTACACTCCTTAAAAGGAGTAACATCTTTGGTCAATATTCCTCCATGCACATTTAAGAGTGGAAGAGAAGTCCAATGAAAATAAACTATTATCTCAAGATTTTTCTCTTCTTTTAAGAAACTTACCAAGTTTCATTTGAATAATATTTTATTTTTCATACGAATTTATAAACAATTATTTGTTTTAATATTCATGTAAATAATAACTTATAATTTTTATAGATAAGAATCTAGCATTATGTCGTTGGTCGCAGCCTGTTGGTAGAGCAGTCTATCTGAAAGTCTTAAGTCCCCTCATGTCACGTTTTCAAATCCTCTACTGATCAGTTTGTTGGTAGTGAGGACAGTTCTCGAATAGTTAGGCACATGAGGGTGGCTGGAGGCTCGTATAGTAGTCTCCGATCATTCTTTAAAAAAATTATATAAGAAATCTAGCATTACTCTTATTTACATTGGATATTTCACTATTAATGCGATTTTCTCAAAATTCAATACATTTTACAAATGAAACTGACACAATTTTTAATAATTATTTATTTTATATGACATCAGATACAAAAGATATACAATAAAATAATAGTACAACATTGTATTTTTATGTCATGTAAGTGTTGTGATGGTTAGAATTGAAAACTTAAAGGGGAGATAGGACTTTAAAAATACTTCAACTTTGATCTTAAATCTTAATTTTTAAGACAAGTGCCCTTCTGTTGGAGGGAGCACCAAATTTAAGTTTAAGAATTGAGCATTTGTTAAGACTAATCTAACTTAAACCAAAGATAAATTAGGCAAAGTATGATATATGAAATCTGACTCACATTTAGCCTAAGCCATCAATTAATGAGAGCAAAATGTAGAATAAAAGTTAAAAATTAAAAGGTGAGAAGAAAAATAAAACCCACTCTAGTATTATACACTATTTTTTTATGTTATATTTTAAATATTTGTCCTTTAAATTTTACTATGTGCAATGTAGTATAATTCTTATGTATTTACATATCCAACACATAAAAATCAATTTTTGCAAAGATGCATCTCACCTTACCAAGAAAATATTGCACTTTGTAAATCAGATGTGTGATCCCCCAGACGCATGGTGGCGTGCAATCCACACCATCGTTTGCACATCCGGACAACAGACTTAATATTTTACACACCTTACCTATGCTTAAAAAGATGTGTTACAATTGTTGAGAGTTAAAATGGTGATATTTTTATGTGATATGAAAGATTTGAATAATATAAATATAAAAATAAAGTTTAGGTAATTAGCTAGGTGGAATATGTGCTTAAATAAATGGCCCATAATAATATTCTATCTACTAACTGTATATCTACATTTCATATGAATTTCTATAATTTTTTTTATTAAAATCTTTATATTTTCAAATAAATTTTAATATAAAGATATATTAATATGTGCATGGGATGTATCACTTCATTCGAGGGAGATCTCCCCATGCATGGAAAGCAGCTCCATCGTAGAGAAGCTCCTTATTCAAGGCAAAATAAACCACATCTGCTCTTCAAATCTTCTTTGGCTTTTCTTTTATCCTTTAGCTTAGAAAAAGGAATAAAGCGTTGTCGTGGGGTTCTTTATAACATGCGTGATTTGAGTTCATTTGTTTGGGCGTGCTTGGAGATAAGAGGATGGTGGAATCTTTTAGAAAGATTTACATGCATACCACTCGATTTATAGGTATTTACATATCTAATGTCTAAATTTACGTATAAATGCCATCTCTGTTCATAAAATTTGTTTCTTTACATTATAAAATTAAAATGGTTATATTTGTGATGTGATATGATGGATTTGAGTAATAT